TCCATAGTTCCTTTCCAATAATCAGTTGTGATTGGACCAAGAGTCTCCAACCACTGGTATCCAAGTACTATATCAGTCGCCTTCAATAGCAAGGCATATAGATCCACTCTCATCTTTTGACCTTGAGCCTCCATCTTTACACCCTTGAAGAGAATATCCCCTCGGAGTGTTTCTCCGTTTGCTACTTTGACTCCAAAAGGTTTTACCTTGGTGAATGGAATCTCAATTTCTTTGGACAACTCCTCGTCAATGAAGTTTAGCGTTGACCCACTATCAACCAATACTTCCACCAATTTGCCCTTAACTTTAGCTTTGAATGTGATCATCTTCGGACCACGTTTCTTGCTTTTAACCATATGCAACAAGGACTCCTCCTGTGGTTTTTCCTCTTCGCAATCATCCCCAATTTCTAGCAAAAATACTTCCTTACCCTTGCACTTATGGCCTGGTGTGAATTTTTCATTGCACGAATAGCAAAGGCCTTTTTCTTGTCGTCGTTGCATCTCTTCATCAGTCAAACGCCGTATGTTGCTCGTTGTTCGAACAGCCTCGCCCAACGGCTTGTTCTCGGCTCTCGCCGTTGGTTCCTCAATAGCGGCGTTGTTCGCCTATATTTTTAAAGCTCAACCGCAAGTGTACGGCTTCGCTCGTAGTATGTGGCAAGCAAGGTCGTATCCCAAGAGACCAAATAATCAATATATCAAGTATTAGATTATGATAATGTCAACTTTATTTAGACAATCGTAATTAGATGAATTGGCTAAACTAAGAAAATAAATCAAAAGATAAGAAATCAATAACAAGAAAACAACTAGAAAAACACTTATGAAGAATATATGGGAATGGTGGATTCTAAGACTATGGGTTCAATTAACAGTTGGGTTCCTTCAGATATATCACAATTAACTATTTTCTTTATCTGCCCTATAAGATGATCACAAAATTAGCCTATCGTCCCTCTCGAGATCGATAAAACCGTAGATTAAATCACATATATTAGCGTCTCCACACACATGCAATTCAACTCCAAAAAGATTGAAAGACCCAAAATCCTCACAACTATCTACTAATCTCTCGATTCAAGCAAATAAATTGTGTCAAATATTAAAGATCTAATATTGAACTCATCTCTCGAATTATGAACAATATCATCAAACATGTAAAAGCAGTGGCCAATTGCAATTCATGAAATAAGCACAAAATATTTGAATAGGGTTCAAAAGAAAACGATCAATTATGATAAATCATCCGAAATATCTCAAACTATTAATCTACTACCATGTCTTAGAATCAAAGAAGTTTAGCTACTCATGTTTGAAATTAAATACATAGACATATTCAAAATCAACATGAGAAAATAAGTTCAAAAGAGAGAACGAAAAACTAGAAATCTTGTCGTCGATCTTCTCTTCTTCCCAATTGCTTCTCTTGCGTGTTCTCTGGCTCCCTTCCTTGCGTAATCACGTTCTAGGGTTCAAAATCAGGTAAATATGCCTTTTTATATGTCCAAAAGTCCTCTCCTAATCAAAAAAGGCAAGCGATTAAAAACTGCCTGCGTCGCGACACAGCCTGACACGCCCGTGTCACGGGTCGTGTCACAGGTCGTGTCAGGTGCCTGGAGTTCGAATTCTCTCTGTTGAGATGACATGAGTCGTGACACAACCTTGGAGCCCGTGTCGCTGGTCGTGTCACACCACAGCATGCACGTTTTCGTCCGTTTTGCTCGTTTCTTCCATTTTTCTCATCCGTGCATCAATCCTTCATCATCCCAGGGGTCCTAGGTACTCCACGTCCACCTCCAATAGCCACAAGCTCTACAAATATGTGAAAATATCTACAAAACAAGCACGCGTAATACCTTTCCAACAAATAGCGAATTAAAGCACAAATATGCAATTTATACACCAATAATGCGACAAATAAGCTCTAGATACTATACGAATATGGTGTAAAATCACACATGAACAGGCGTGCGTGCGTTTGGTCTCTGTGCGCACGTCGCTCGGCCTGGCCTTGCGTACTGCCATCAGATGATCCTCATGTAGTCTCGCCGACTCCATGGCTGCTCCCATCGATTCTGGCCTATCCAACCTTACTTCTGCTGCTAACTCAGCCTTAAGTCCTCCAACAAACGTCCCTACTAGCACACTCTCACGCCAATCCCGCACCCTACTAGCAATGCGCTCGAACTCCTTTTGATACTCTCTCAGGCTCCCCACTTGCTTAATTCTAGACAAAGCCTCATTGTAATCGTGGTAGTCACTCGAGCCAAACCTTGTAATGAACTCTTTTTCAAAATCCCACCAACGCATGAGCTCACCTTGGTTCTTGTGCAACACCCATTGCCACCATACGTTTGCTTCCCCATCAAGATGATAAGCAGCAATTCGAACTCTCTCATTCCTTGGCACGTCATTGATCTCAAAAAATTGCACTGCTCGACTCAACTATGCGTCCGGATCTGTTCCCGTGAACGTGGGCATAATGATTTTCGGTTTCGTGGATGCCCGTTCCTCGCGTTCGTGTCGTCGGTCGTTGCGGCCATCGTGTCGTCGCTCTTCGCGGCGTCGGTGGTCGCGTAGCTCGTCGCGTGTGGCTCGTGACGCATACGATGCGTACGACTGTTGGTCGTAATCCACGTCGCGCCTTCGGTTGTGATGCGCGTGACCGTCATGCCATCGTCGATCGTCGTGGTGGTGATCCGCGCGCGATGCGCGTGTGCCCCTCGATCGGCGATCGTCCTCGTGTTCGGTCCCGGTGCTTGTTGCCGTGGAATGCGACGTCTCCTTGGCCGTGTGTTCATGCGCGTAAGCTGCCCGGCCAAGTCCTGGACCATCAACTCAATTCTTCCCAAGTTCTCGTTGGTAGCATGTTGACCATCATCAATGATCTTCATGTTGTCTTCCAACGCTTGAATTCTCTAACGATTTGACATCATAAATCTTTTTTTTTTACTCTAAAAATTCGAAAAAAATTCGAACCAAAATAAATTCAAAAACAAAGAGAAATTCAGCCCCTCAACAAAAGGTAATAACCGAACAAAAACCAAACAAAGGACTAACAAGAAGACACTTTTTTTTTAAGACTTTCAAAAAAAATTGAAAAATTGGAATAGAAAATTCGAAAATTTCGAACCAAAAAAGAACAAAAATTCGGTCCCCTCAGCAAAAGGCAAAACCGAAAAAAAGAAAAAAGATAGATAGATAACAACACGATCAGCACCTCTCAACGAAAGCACCAATGATGACGGACCGTGTTTTTATCTATTTCCGGGTTGTGAATAAACGTGCACTCGTTCGTTTATCCACGATAGGTGTATCTAACAGATGCACTATCGGCCTTCTCCTAGACACCGTGATTTCAAGACGCTCTAATGGCCTTTTCTCCGACACTGTATGTAAACACGTACTAACGGCCTTGTTTAAACACACGTAAGAACAACAGTTCCCCTCACAATTGGCTCACCAATTCAATACTATATTCAACTCTTCATGACATGATGAGGTACATGGGGTATTTATAGGTGCAAAAATAAATCTAAGCCTAAATAAACTAGATCTCCTAAATCTTGCAATAATAGAAATCCTAATACTAGAAAGCAACAAAATCCTATTACTACCAAAATACTAATGCTTGGCTTGCACACCAAGCAATTCTAAAAGCTAAATAATTGCGCCCCAACCAAACTCTTCGACCGCCTCATCCCCTTCGGCCGCCTCAACGCGTCGCACGCGCGCGCTCGTGCGCGAGCCTAACCTGCGCCGACTCGCCCCTGCGCGTGCGCCCCGTCCGCTCTCACCTACGCCTACCGCGTTTAGGCATCTCGCGCGCTGCCCCCGCACGCGCGCGCCATCTCGTCATTGTCGTACCTGCCGTGTCCCGCTGGCGCGTGCACGCCGTCCCCTTGCCCTGTCTAGTTCCGCGAGGACTAGGCTTTGCGCGCCCGTACCGTACGCGCACAAATCCGCTCGCGCCTTGCTGCTGCCGTTCCTCTCGCGCGCGTCCCAGCTACCGCCCGCGCCCAAATTGCCTACGGCGCATCCGCGTACACCCGTGCACCTGCCAACCTCGCGCCCGCATACTCCTCGCAAATCCCGCGTGCGCGGCTTGTTTGCCCACTCGTGTGCATCAAGGGCCGATGCGCACCTTTCGCCTTTTAGCCCCTCACTAGACTTGCCGGTCCCTAACTCCACTTCCGTATCAGCATGTGTCGCGGCGTGAGATCATGGCGCGGCGTGGGAAGAGTTGCACCGCGGCACGGTACGTGTCGCGCGGGCGTGACGCTTGGTGTTAGTAGCATATTGTCGCGGCGTGTTGATGTGCCTCGGCGCGGAGAGGGAGCTTTTCACGGCACGGGGGTCACGCGAGAGCTGCGCTGGGAGAGGTGTGTGGCAGGTGTCGCGGCGCGGCAGGAGGATGCTTCGCGGCGCGGGGCAGAAGCATGGGCGCTGCAGGGTCTTCCTTCGCGGCGCGGGGCATCATCGCGGACGCGGCAGGGCTTTCCTTCGCTGCGTGGGACCATCGCGCGGGGACGCTGGGCACGAGAAGTGGCAGACGCCGCGGCGTGCTGTGTGCCGCGGTGCGAGGCTGGGACCTTGGGAACTCCTTTGTCCGTCACGTGGTGCAAGCGCGGCGTGAAGCGTGGGATGTTGGCGCGGCGCGGAAGTCTCGCGAGCTGTTCTTGGGGGGATTGGTACCAGATGCCGCGGCGCGGAAGTCTCGCGAGCTGTGCTTGGGGGGATTGGTACCAGATGCCACGGCGTGCTGCATGCCGCGGCGCGAGGCGCGAACACGTACCCTCTGTCCAAGTCGTGGTGGCTCCGCGGCGCGACGGCGCGGGTCTGGGGTCTGGACCGCATGCACGTGTTTACATTTTGGGGTCATTCGGGCTCGTTTGATAACGAAATTCGAATCCGCTTTTTTCAGTGTACTCCCAACAAAATTCTCTCTTTAATCACGTTCACCCGACACGTTTATCATGAAACATAAATACTCCCGAGGCTTTCGACTTGCACACCATAAACAAAGAAAAACTGAAAAAATATACGGAAAACACAAAGAAAAACAAAACAGAGCGAAACACACAATAAACGACAAAATGAACCTAAAACCAACTAAATGACTCAAAATGGGGGAAAAATAATGAGAAAATAATAACAAAAAATGCAACAAAAATGGGACAAACAACAATCATAGGAGGCGCATATAGGAGATTTATCTTCCTTAATGTCGCGTATAATGCTGTTTGAAAGATATTTTTTGTTTGGCATTAGTTCAATGGTTTGAACAAGCACCTAGAACCACAGAAAAAGGGAAGATCATTATTTATTATGTTTCCCTAATTTAGTTTATTTTATATTCCATATATAAGATTGTGTGGATCTTATTATGGTATTTCATATTGTAGAAAATCGGACGTGAGAGAAACCAAGAAGGAAGAGACGCGCATGCATAGGAGATCAACGAGAGAGAGAGAATGAAAGATTCACTTACCAAAGTTGAGCTACAATTGTGGAAGGAAATCGTGTTTGGAGTCCTATGCCTTGTAGAAGACTCCAACCTAAGGAGATCATATAAATACCCTAGGAGAAGCTCTTATTGCGGCTGCTGAAGTTAGAGAGATTTTTAGAGCAATATCTGAGCTTCATATTTTCTATTCTATTCAGTTTTGTACACAGTTCAGTTTGAGAATTCTTGCACACTCAAGAACTGAAGATGTATTTTGTTTAGTTTCTTTATTTCTTCAAAACCATCCATTGTTTTTACACTTAGGGAGTAAGTGTAGGATAAAAAGTCCACGGGACGTGGCCGGAGAATTAGTTGATAGGATCGTGAATAGTGTTGGCTAGACTAGAAGAGAGTTCGAGTCTTGTAAGTCTAAACTATGTCTTTATGTGATTTATCAATGAAAGAGCTCTGAGTGGAAGTGGGACGCTTCCCTGAAGAGTTTTTAAATTTTCGGTTTTATCGCTTCCGCATTTTACAGTTTTTGTTCAAGTTCGTACATTGTTAGCGCACTCCGTATCAAATTATACGTTTCGCTGTTAATTAAATTAAATGAGTTTGGTTCGGCTTAATTCGAGATCAACTAGTGCTCGAGACCTTAACGAGCCAAGCTCGAGCTCATCTCTTTAAGGCTCAAAAAAATAATTTGTATGTAATTTTCTATCATTTGTCTCATTAAAAGTTGAGATCGATTCGTTAACAGTGATAAACGAGCCGAGCTCGAACTTGATTTCTGTCTCGTTCATTTATCGAGTTGAGCTAGCTTGGCTCCGCTCGTTAAGGGCTCGTTCTCGAGCTCGAGCTCGTTTACAGGCCGAGTCACATGTACACTATCAAAAAATTAACAAAAAATATGAATTGCCAAATGACAAAATGTACAACATAGATCGAATTGCAACCGATCAGTCTTATTATTACGCTTACAAATTATAAAAAAGAACTCTAACCGCTCATGAGCCCCTTAATTCATACAGTGATACACAACAATTTTTTTTTTTAAAAAAAAATCTAAGGTCATCAAAATACAAGCAAAACAAAATAATCACCCAAAATGCAGCAAAGTTAACGAAAAAAAAACATTGGACGAAGCATTTCATATGATGCTTATATAAGCTAGATATTAATCAACTCTGCCATGGCCCTTGATTCTGATTATTAACTTGATGATGTTGATCGTACGGCCCAGCAGGTCCCATTTGCTCAAGCCCAGCCATGTTCAGAAAATCCCTATCATCCGGATACCCCCTCAGCCCGAGAAAATCCCTCGTCAGCCCATCTCCGGCCGCTCCTCCACCGGACCCACCACTACCACCGGCGCCGGTGCCGCCAGCTGTGGCTTCCTTCCCCAAACCCATGATCAAACGTATCGCATTTTCACGAAAACCGCTCATAGCACTCCTCCTCTCCGCATCCAATATCTCGCTAAACCCGTCCTCAAAGCCCAAACCCGACCCCCCAAACCCGGTCGACGGTAGTGACGAACTCACCATTTCCGCATTATGAATCTGCTGCTGCATGCAGCCGCTCGGGCCGACGTGGACGAATCTTCCCAAGCCAGCTGTACCACCACCCTCCATCGGAGCGGCGGCCTTGCCGCCACCGCCGCTCATCGTGACCCCCATCTGGGCCGCCTTCTGAAGCAGTGCGGTTGCGGACATGAGCGAAGGAGCAATGCTAGTGTTTGGTGCGCTGTGGTGGAATGACGGTTCTGCCCTCGGAGAGTCGTTGGGGGAGGAAAGCCACGTGGGCAGGCTGATCAGGTTTTCTTGCTTGAGCTGGTGGTGGTGGTGATGATGGGGGAATAAAGTAGTATTATTATTATTGAAGTTTAAGGTGTGGATTTGGTGGGGAAATTGGGTGTTGTTGTTGTTGTTGTTGTTAGGGGGTGTTTGGATGGGCAAGAAAAGTGGGTTTGGTTGGGGGATTGATTTGGAGCTCTCTTGCGCCAGAGCATCGCAGAAGGCCCTGTGGGTGATAAAGCTGTCCCGCCTGTGGGAAAAATAAGAAGAAAAACAAGGGGAAACAAACAAGGCATAAGGTGACAAATTAAATGGGGTGGGGAGAAATTAAAACAGACCAAACAGTACAGTAGTGCTACCATAACACTCAAGCTAATACTGTAGACTGTAGACTACATGTGATAGAGAATTATTTATTTATTTATTTATTTATTTATTTATTATTATTTTTTCTTACAGAGACAATCGTCAACCCTTTGTGTCTTTTTTTTTTTTTTTGTTTAATGATATAGCCTTAAAAAGACAGTTCAGATTCTTGGACAGATGCAAAAGAAACGAGAGTAGTAAGAGGAGTTCACGGTTCTCGAGATGCTGAATTTCTTGCTTTATCACAGAAAAAAAGTGGGACTGAATTATTGTTGCTTTACGCCCCCCTTGTCTCCCCCCTCAAAGGAAAAACAAATTAACAGTGTACGAACTATTTTTATGAAGTTGTTTGAAAGGTGAGCAGATAGTTGTTAAACTAATCGAGTTTGGCTTGACTCGGTTCGAGTTCGACTCGAGTTCGAAACTTTAACGAGTCGAGCTCGAGTTCATTAATTAGAAACTCGTTCGGTTAACGAGTCTAGCTCGGCTAGGCTCGTTGAACATCAAAAAGGAAATTTTATATCATTTATTATAATTCGACTCGTGAAAGCTCAAGATCTGCTCGTTAAGGCCTCGAGCCTGAGCACCTTGAGCCTGAGTTTGGCTCGACTCATTTACAACCCTAAAATTGAATGTGAGGAATGAATAGTGAATTATGTGATACAAAAGTAGAAGATAGATGTGAATTGAAATGGTAGTTAGTTAAAATTATGTGAGTGAATGAATAGTAAATTAAAGTTGATGTGATTTGTAAAAATAATTAGTCGATGTTATTAATTATCAATATTTTAAATAGTGAAATCGACAAAATTTAGTTAGATTTTGAGTATGAATTTAATTTTTGCATTTATAATATGTAAAACTTTTTTTTTCTCCTCATCATCAGTTGAATAGAAATTGACGATGGGCAATTATACCACTTCATTTTATATATTTTAAAAATAATTATTTCTTTTCTAATTATAGATTTTTTTTTCTAATTTTATGTGTTGTGGTATTAGAACCAAAATAACTTTAATTATCAAAATTTTCCAATAAATATTAGTTATTCTCAATAAATATTACTTATTCACGGTATTTCAAGCTCTAAAAATAAAATTGTAAACATATTTACTTTTTCGTGCATTGATTCCATTATTTTATTTAAAAAAAAAAAGATAAAGTATAATTAAAACCTATCAGATATAAAATCCACATATAAATTTAAACTATAAATAACAATATTCAAATTATATCTTACATACATAAAATTTTAACCACATTCATATTCATATTTTTTAGTCTTGATATAAATAAATTTTCACCCCACCCGTTCCAATAAAACACAACTTTTTCATGATACATATTATAATTTCTCTAATAATTTATAAATATATAATATAATAATAATAAATTATAGATGATTTTACTAAGTAATTGTTAATTCATGTGCGAATACATATAATATCATAGTGGAAAATGCTATACGGTCACGTTACAGAACTATTCCATCGAGATTTATAACCGTTAAATCAACCATTTCTGACGATTACAAAACCCGATAAAATAGTTCCATAACAAAACCTTAACATTTCCCTGTCATAGTTTAGTGAAATTGTCTACCAACATATGATGATATATAGATTCTATATAATGAACATGTGATCTTCCTTTTACCTTTTACAATATATCAACTGCAATCATCATCATCATAAGTATTATTTAAACAAACAAAAACAATTCACTATTCACACCCGTGACTACCACTTAACCACACCCAAATCACATTTTCATTTCACACCCCCACAATCCCCATAAAATAAATAAATAAATAAATTATTCTCATAATAATAAAACAGCAATATATATATATAATAACATATATGGGGTAATCAATTAATTAATTAAATTAATTAATTAATATTATATGCTTTTGTTTACCTGGAGAAGAGAGTACCGCAATCACATCTGTACTCGCGGGTGCCGCAGATCTTGGAATGGGCCTTCCAGTCGGACTGCACCGCGTATCGCTTCGAGCACTTATCGCATTTCCACTTTTTCTCCCCATGTTTCCTCGAGTAGTGCTTTTTGATCCCGGTGAGGTCCCCCAGCGCCCGGGCGGGCTCGTGGTGGACGCAGCTCGGCTCCGGGCACACGTACACTTTCTTCTTCACCACCTCCAGTTTGTTTCTCTGCTTCAGCTTCCAGGGCAGGTTGTGACCTCTTCTGTGTAATTGCAGGTTTTGGTCCCTCTGGAAACCTTTGTTGCATATTTCGCATACGAACCTATTGGTCGCCATTAGGGATCTCGGGGTTAACGCCACCACCTCAGCATCCGGGTCTTTTTTGCACATATACAATATATATATATGTGTGTCATGTCAGCAATTATCATTTAATTAGAATTTTTTTTTTTAGTACATAAATGAACGGAAAAAATCAAAATCAATTTACTAATTAATTAATTTCATGAAAAAAAAAATCAAAAAAAATTATATATGTATACATATATATTCATAAAAAAAAAATAAAAAATTACCAGGATGGCCGGGGAGATTTCGCCTCTTCTTAGTGGGAACGGCAGGTTGGGGAAGCTGATTGTTATTATTATTAGTATTACTAATAATTGGTGATGCAAAAGAGTGAAGATTTTGGTGTGGATAAACGTTAATAGCAGCAGCAGCAGCACTGTTTGCCATCTCGTTCATGTTGTTGTTGCTCGATGATATGCTTGCTTCATTCGATATGGCCGCCGAAGTTAAATTCGACATATTGTCATCGAGCCCCTGTAACATTTTTATTTGTATTTTTCTCAACCTCAACACTTTTATTTTATTTTATTTTATTTTATTTTTCACTAGTGACTATGAGCCACAAATTTCAAAAAAAGCCGACGATTATCATTTTATTATTTCTCTCTCTCTCTGCGTACAATAAAACCCTAAAATCGGAAAGGCGGAATAAAAGGTGAAGCTGATGATAAAGACTACTTATTTAGAGAAATAAGGTCAATTTTTTTGAAACCCTCCCCTCTTCAAGTAAGTCTTCAAATGCAAATCCTTTGCATATCATCACAAGCTCTTTAATTTCTTGAATTAATTTCCTTCAAAACCCTAAAAGAGATGACAATGAAGACTATATGAATATAAGAACAAAATTATTACATAAACATTAATATATATATATATATATATATATATATATATATATATATATATATGTATGCATCAAAGAAAAAAGGCAAGAGAATAGAGAGTTATACTATATCTATATATATATATATTAAAAAAAAAATATATATATATATATAAACATCCTTGCCTTAGCTTTTTTCAATAAAAACATCGTCACCTGAATTGCTGCTAAAGCCAACAAAATTCGATAAACGCCATACATATCGAAACATGAGAGAGAGAGAGAGAGAGAGAGAGAGAGAGAGAGAGAGATGAGGATGAGAAGGCATCTCTTCTTTCTTTTAGTTTCTTCAAACACATCAAGAAAAAAACAGTAGGCCAAAGCCAACAGGGCTGTCTGACGTTTTCACTTTGTCTTATCCTTTGTATTTTTGCTCCTTCAATTATTGCAATTAAATTCCTCATTTTCAAAAAAAAAAATTTGGTTCTTGTTACCAACAACAACTAAAACAAATATTTACTGCAAGATAACTTTTTAGTACTGTGATGTAAATTTTTTTTGGCAGGATTATTGGTTTTGGGTAGATTCGTTCGCGTACGAGGGTACGTTAAATTGTTCTCTAGAATATAAACACTATCGAATTTTAAAATTCATAAGAATTTCAATTTTGTGATATATAATATTTGTGAGTGTAACATATATAACAATTCTTAATTAAATTTAATTAAATTCCATCGATCATATGAATTAGGGGTGAGCGTGGGTCGGTACGGTTAATACGGAGATTGATAAATCTCCAGAACCGTACGAAAAAGTCGGTTCGGTTCGGTTCGGAGATTCTTATTTTTTGGTTCGGTTCGGTTCGGTTCGGTATTCGGGACTATTGGGACGGTTCGGTTCGGTATGGTTTGGTTCGGATCTTCGGAGATTTTTTATTTTTTGAAATTATTTTTGAATGACTACCTAGTTATATTTTAATTTTTATATGTTTTAAAAAAAACAATATTCATCAATAATTCATCATATTGAAGATTTAATTTTGAAATCAATTATAGAAGTAACTCTAAATATTAGTTATTTAATTTTTATATGCTTTATAAAACTAACATTCATCAGTATTTTTTTACATTAAAGATTTTATTTTGAAATCAACTTTATATGTAACTCTAAATTTTAGTTATAACTAAATTTGTGCAACTAATATTAAAAATTTGAAATTCAAATAAAATATAATTTTTTTTATTAAAAAAAATATTCTTTAAACTTTCATATTATTTTAAATAATTGTTTTATAATAGAAAAAATCAATTGTAGATCAAATATTACTAAGCATGAAATTTAAGTGAAGATTAATATTTATTACTATATTATATAGAATCAAAATTGACATATAATATATTAATAACACATCTAATGTTATAATTCGGTTATTAATTTCGGTTCTTCGATTTGATACAGTACAGGACGGTTCGGTTTGGTTCTCGGTACGGATATTTGTAAAATCTTCAGAACCGTACCAATTATTTTTTCGGTTCGGTTCAGAGAAAGGCAAACGGTCAACGGTTATTTCGGTTCGGAGTGATTTTGGTCCGATTTTCGGAACGGTTCGAAATTCTCCGAGTCTCATGCTCAGCCCTAATATGAATCCCTAGCTAAGAATTAGTAGCTATTATTGCATAGGTTTTTTATGGGACAATGTAATTTTATGAACTAATAAATACAAGATGATGCATGTATGTACGTATATAAAAAATAAAAATAAAAAAAAAAGAAAAAAAGGAATTGAATCGTATAATGAAGATATAATTGGAAATATGCTATAAAAAAATTTCATTACTCGGATATATGTTATAAGGAGGTGCTACAATCTCGTTATAAAACTATTTAGTCGGAGTTTGTAAATCATCGTGTAACTGTTAGGGATAGTTGATCTAACGGTTACAAAACTCGACATAATTGTTCCGTAATTGAAGTCACAATGATTATCAAATTATGGGTTGACAATTTTTTCTAGCCAATTAATAATAAAAATAATTAACTTCCTCCATGTAGAATCCTCAAGTACCAAAAATACGTAGCAATAATACATGTGAAAAAAAAAAAGCATACATTACATATATTTTGCTTCTCTAAACTAGAATACGTACTAATAACATACTTCAAAAAGCGTCGTATATAAAAATTAAAAATGCAATATCACATATAATTTCATGTTTTCAATTTTAGGAATGAAACTTGTGCACTTCTAAAAGCTTTAGGCTGTGCTTGAATACAAATATATTTGGTCAAAAGAAAATTCTTAGTTAACGCATAGGCTTTAAGCCTCTTTTTTGTACAAAAAAAAAAAAACAAATTTTTTGTTAACTATAGAGTTACTTTTGCAATGCGGTATAGTTAGTTGTTAGTATTATTTTGAATATATATTAAAATAATATTTAAAATAAAATAATAAAAATTGATTTGATGTAAATATACGAGAGAGATAATGAGAAGTGATTGTTAGTTAAAATTATGTGAGTGAATAGTAGTAAATTAAAATTGATATAATGTGTAATAGTAATTGATTATTAATAATATTAAGAATAATGAAGATGTGTTAGATTTAAAATAAATTTGAAGTACAAATTGTTTATAGATTGAGTTATTTTATAAACAAACGCACTATTAGGATTTTTATTCTTTATTTTTTTTTTTT